AGTTCTTGGGTTCGAATCTCGGCCAATTTTTTTTGTAGGCAGTTGAAAAAGTTTTCCTCGAACTTCTGTAACGAGTTTAAAAAACCTGTGTCAAAGGAAAGATCACACACTTTCTTGTGTGCCTGCATGCTCGCTCAGTTTTTTTTGACTTTACCTATCTGTCTACAGACTTCAAAAAATGTACGGGCGAGTACCTGACATATTTTTATGATTTTTTCGTCTTCTCAATAACTGAGCTCCCAAATCTGAGATTTTGTCCTCAATGGCAATAACGGGTTGTGAAGAAGTCCCCTGCATTAAGGTTCACTTACCTAAATTTTTAAATTAGTTGTTATTGCCTTCGGAAAAGTCAAAAGTTTAATTTTTTGAGCGTTTTTGCCCAATTTTCTAGGAGAAAGTTGGTGCACTCCAAATCATTGGTGCAAATTTGGGCCGCTCCAGTTCCAACAAGCTGCTAACTAGCAGACCATGCCGAGTGTATTTGTTTTTTTCCAGTTAATTTTTGAGAAACCCAAACATTTTTGTCGAGCTTTTTTCGTACAGCACATGCTCACTGGAGGTCTAAGCTTTATTCACTCAGTTTTTAGCCATCCCTCTTTTCTTAATAGTTGTTCTTGTTGTTGTAGCTACATCGATTTCTGCTTTGAGCTTCTGATAGAAATAGAGAGATCGTTTATGCTTAGGAGATCGAGGAGAGAGTTTTCTTAATTGACGTACAAGTTAGCTCAGTGTTGAAATTCCCCTTAAGCTATTGTGGGCCCGCTGTTATGACATTGAAGCAAGTTCGTTCAGTCGTGAATCTAGATGAAATCAACACCTTCGAAAAGGTTCAAGTCAATATCAGTTATTTTAATATTTTTGCTTCTCAGCTCAGGTTAAGGAGACCAATAGTTGTGACGCTTCACTTGTAACTTTAACAAAAGGAACTCATTTTTCCATATCAATTTATGTTTAATCCTAACAGGAAGCTTGATTTAAGATCTCTATACCCTACCTTAAACTGAATAAATGTAACATTCGCCCAAATACTACACAGCGACGGAGCGTAGAAAAAGTACCTATTAACGACTGGCAGGCGTCAGTTACCTTAATCCTACTCGTTTTTCACCGTCTCGACCTTGCCAGTTGATTTTCTGGTCTGTTTAGGGCAAAGTAAAAAGTTACCATTTTTAGGCCATCAGTCAAACGACTTTTGATCAGCTTTCGTTTACATGCGAACACAACCACATAGTTGAGTCTCGGATCCTCAGACTACATGATTGTCATTAAAAACACGGCTCGAACAACCTATTTTAACATATTTTTGTGTGACAGTTTTATATTAAATCCATTGGAGATGGATTGACCCTTTCCTCTTCCTAGCTACTCATATTCTGAAATATCAAACAATAACGGTGTTAATTAAGAGATCTATGACATTACAGCAGCTATAAAGTCAGTTTATACAGTCCCTTCACATAGAACAGTCTCTGGGGGACCAAGCCTCCGCTCCCGTAATATTCCTGAGATAACGCTCTTATCTCTTAAAATTCGTGTCCCGGGAGGGTTCCGTGGTATATTTCTTCCCCCACTCAAGCCTCCTTCTCCACCAATATCTGTTAACAAGTGTCTTATCGTGCGTTGTTGCCACGATAAGAGGCTTCGTATTTTCCGTCTCTGGTACGACTGTTTTTCACAATTTCTGTCGTTGTTCTGATTTTCGTCACTTTTTGGCTCAAAAATGGCCGTTTTTCGTATTTCTCAAAAATATCAACTTGAAAATCGAAATTTTAAAAATAAATATTCCAGAATATTCTGACCCTCCTTTCAAGCACTTTTTTGCTGCTAAGGCCTTTTCTCTCTGATTCGTGCTTCGTCGGAAGGTTGCACTGTGCCATCTGGCAGAATGGCACAAAAGTATTGACAAATTTTCCATAGAAGTTTGTGATCAAAACTTGCTGTGCTACTTTTCCGACCACCAAAGTTTAGTGAAAGTTTGGATTCGTTTTTTTTGTCCACGCAAATCCAGACACCAAAAATATTTGACACAGTCATTTATAAAGTTGAGTCATGTATGAGATTGAAGCCGTTTAAGTCTCAATTTGAGCTGGAAAAATACTTGCACAGAAAAATGTTTTTGGGAAGCGAAACGTTGGTCAGGGAAAACAGGTTCAGGCGAATATTGAATTATGATTTGGAACCATTTTCCCGATTTCGAGTAAACTTGAACTATCATAGCGATCAAAAATGAACTATCATAACGATCAATTTTTTTCGCTTTTCTAAAACATTTTTTTATCGTTTTTAGGTATGCTTCCTCCAAAATAAGTTATTACCCTTGCGATAAGCAAGGAAATGGCTATCGGGCACTAGACTACTGTTCTTCCGTAAATAATTTTGCTCACAGTTCGCATCTCCTGGACTAGTTGATCTGCTCGTCTCCTATGTTAAAAATGTTGAAACAAACATAATTTGAGCATGTTCGCATTTGAAATATCCTTCCTGTTCTAAATTTGTTTTCTATGTTGTTTTGTATTATACAAACTTGATTTTTTAAAATTTCTTTTTAAGAGTCGATGAACGTTGTTCAATATTTCATGATGATTTTTTTTAAGTTATCTTTTTCATTTTCTTTTTTGACTATCGAACTGCAAAAGCGTAATAGTAACATAAAACATGATCAACTTCTATTTTTGAAAGTGGATTTTATTTTTCAGATATCGCAGCTGAATAAATATTTTACATATTGATCTCAACAGTTAGTTTTCTTCAGTTGGGTTGTTTTTTCAAATGTCAATCATAAATTGTTCTGGAAATTCAGAGAGCTTAAAGACCATATTTTTTTAACTTGAGATTTCAAGGTTAAAGTTCAAAAACAGTCAATTTTTTTCAGTTTTCTGGCTTTCGTTGCCTCTTTTCCAACTGCTTGTTACCTATAATTTTGATATAATTGGTTTTGAATTATATCATACGGGCTTAGTGGCCTGGCCTCATAATGTGTTGTTTGATGAGCGCAGAAGTTTGTCTTTAGTTTCTCCTCAGTTATTCTCAGCTTTGCTACCATTTGGTAAGTTTTCTTCAGATGCTACTTTCAAATTCTTTTGCATTTCTATGTTGTTTTTGAAAACTATTAGCTTTATTTATTTCCGAGTTTTTTTGAATTAGTGAAGAGTGAGTTCATAGTAAGTCTGGTAAAAAAAATCATGGTTTTTAATTACTTCATTTCGCCAGCACTATTTGTTAGATTACCAATTCTGAGCTTGTTGACTTTTGATTTCTTTGTGTTTTGTTTTTGTTCTGATCATTTGAAAAATCTGGGCGAACTTTGTATTCGGCGGGTGTGTTTTGCTTTTTTTGTTCCGACTTTTGATACGAAAATAACGGAATATTTGTGCTCGGGGTGGGTTTTTGTTTTCAGACCAATTTCGACTTTTTAACTAGCCGTTTTTGACGGAACTTTTTTAATGTCATTCAAAAGCTACTGTTGTCCTGAGCTTAAATTTGAAAAGATATGTTATGTGTGATCATTTTTCGTAAAGTTACGGGGGTTTAAAGATTGTCATTTTGGCCAATTTGGGACAATTCACGCGCGATATATTTCGCGCTGTTAACGCGTAAGCGGAGAGTTAATCCGTCTCAAAATCTTCCAAATTGGTTGAAAGAAGCTTATTTGCCATAATTGATTTGTTACATGGAGCAAAATCTATCCTTTTGTACTTAAAATGGCGTGTGGGGGGATGATTTTCATTAAAAAAATTTCAAATTTTAGAAAAAAATTTTTTGATTTATTTTAATTTAATTTTTTGATGTTATTACTGATCCATAAAACCTTAAAAGGCAGTCGGAACATTCAGGGCTTCGCCCTGATACGAGCAGTCTTGTTTCTTTTTGGTTTCAACGCAAAATCAGGTAAAGTTTTGAGTTTTAGTCCCATTTCAAGTGACTAAAACGAGCGAGTAACTTTCGTAATAAATAAACATTGGGCAATTAGGCTTAGGAAAATTTGATTTCTCTAAAAAACAAAACCAGTTTTTAGAAGCTTCCTTAAGCACTTTCTCGGCCATAAAAATTTTCATACAAATTTATAATTTTAGTGCAAAATTGAGAAAGTTTTTTGAAAATTTTTTCTTCAATTTTTGTTTATTCATTTTTAAAGACAATTGTAGTTTTTAATGCCTATTTCACTAACTTACTACGCGTCTGTATAGTTCTATAATCACACCGCGCAGAGGAAATGATGCTAGTTTTAATATTAAAAAATATATTTTTTGTAGTGTTTTACGAATGTGGTCGGAAGATTCTCTGCTACTTGCCAGCTATCCTTGTTAATTATTTGTTCTTAATTTTTCTCAGCTACCGAACTATCTTTTTGTTCCGGCACTTTAAAAAATGTGGAAAAACTTTCTTTGGGTGTGTTTTAGTTTCTTTTCTTATTCTTTGTTTTCCACGCAAAATCAGGTTTGAAATAGGGCGAGTTATATATAAGAGATTAAAGCTCTTTCAGTCGTGATTTGAGCTTAAAAGTTTTCCAATTTTTTTTTCTCTGTCGAGAAAAACGGGTTTGAAATTTTCTGATTTTTGGTACATTTCCAATAATCTAATTTCCAGCTGAGAACGTGAGCGTGCAGGCTTACAATGGCTTATTTAAGCTTAATTGAATCCTTGAAAACTTAGTTTTACTCGAGTAAAGTTAGTTTTTGGGAGTTTTCAGGGCCACTTTGGGTATCAAAAATTTCTGCAAAAAAATGAAAATTTAGTAATTTTTTAAATGATTTCTAGAAAAACTGTTTTACAATTAGACTATTTGACTATGACTGTCGAATATGGCCTGAATCCTATTTTTCTGTTTTATCACACCACAGGAAAAATGACACTAATTTGATAAACTAGCGCAGAGGTTTCACTCCTTGTGTTATCAATGCATGCTGTATGATATAATTATACAGGAAAATGGAATGTTAGAACTGATGATTACTTCTTCCGATTAGAGTTCAGGTTGTAAACTAAATTATTTCAGGTGTGTCATGACTGTTGGTTTGCGCAGCTGGCCTCGCAGATTCACCTACAATTGTACAGGAGACCGACGTAACTGATGGATTCTAAAAACTATATTCTCAATTCGAACAATGATCGTACAGGTCTTGCCTCGTCGCTTGCTGTTTATAACGCTGGTGCTAGGCAGGTACAAGTTCCGCAATCGAGTGCAATGGGAAACGCCCCGAGTGAAGTTGCTAAACAGCTTCATTGGACTTCGGCCGGGCCGATTGTGTTAAACTCTAAAATAAGCATTCAAAATCAGTTCAAATTCCCCGAAATAGTGCACCAACCTTCGGCAATTGTCACGATTGACAATACAAACCATTTGCTGCCCTCTCTGTCAGTGGTAAATGTTCTGTCGAAAACTGATTTGACTAACCTGCCGAAACGAGTAGATCTATCAGCATTCAATCTTAAAGGAGTATCTGATTTCTTGGCATCGCATGCTCTGTTCTCTCCAAAAATACAGCAAAAGGGAATAGTTGAAGTGAAGCCGGAAAATGTATCTGAAGCTAGTTCGTCTAATTATCGGTTTGCAAGTAGAAGATCTTCGTCGACATCTGATTGGAGTAATTTGTTCGGCCTAAATGTGCTGGCTAAAGTTGACAATGCTGCTTTCTCTTGTGGGACTATCTGTGAAGTGACTCCAGTTGTTGCTCAACTGCCCGAGGCTATTAGCGTGCAACTCCTTTCACAGTTGATGGGCAAAAAAGTGGTAAGGTTTTCGGTCGGAACCAAGGAGATTCAAATAGTGCAAGATACGATTCCATCGACAAATGAAATTAAAAATGGAACTTGTCTCCTCTTTAATCCTCCGGATTCTAATTTGTTCTATCCCGCGACTGTTCTCGAAAGTAATTATGACTATTTTACAGTGAAGTCTATAGCTAACGAAATTTTTTCGGTACGTGTGAGTAAACTAAGGCTGTACAAAACACCCTGGCAAAAAGATTCCAAGTGGCTGGGAAATAGCAACATCGAGCGAAAGTTAGTATCCGGGGTTCCGTCTCCCGTCAAATTGATAAACGAAGATTCGGTTTTCACTGCTGATGCAGAAATTGAAGAATTAGAAATCTCGAAGTTCGGACAAGAATCTGTCCCAATTCTTTCAAGATCAGTTCCTTCCACTCCTGGTGGCAGATCGGAAAGCTCTCTTTGTGCTCAATTTCAGCCTAATTCGGCCGATCAGAGTAGAAATCAAAGCACTAGTTATTCGGCATCTCAGTTTGATCAGCCGAAGGGGACGATTCAAATAAACAGCCACGGTATCAGGAAGAAATTTAACGGGAAGCAGTGGAGGCGACTTTGCTGCGTCGAAGGCTGCAACAAAGAATCACAAAGACAGGGACTGTGTTCTAGGCACAACACAGAGAAGCGAAACAGGCAGAGTAGCTTGAGTGCTGTATCTTCGCTTAATGATGCGAACAACAGGCACGCTACTTCAGCGACAGTTACTCCTCTGAGCAACGAAAGCTTTGCAAGTAGCGCTCATTCTAGCAGAAGCGACGAGAAAAATGAAATAGCACAGGTGTTGGCCTCTCTTAGGGAAGGAACTGCAAAGATTACACCTTTGCCGCCTAAAATGAGACCGATTAATTGCAGATTGTTCGATACCAGAGGGGGGCGAATGCGAAACTTAAGCGGGGGACCAATGTACCAAACGAAATCGCCGTCCGCTCTTATGTCGCCATTCACAGTGTACAACAGATTCCCACAGATGAGCATGAGCGCTTCGTCAACTCCGGCTTTGCCTGGCTCTCCTGGAAGCGGATTTGTTTACCACTCTCCGGGTTCATATGGAAGTGCTCCAATGAGGCACCTTTCAGGCGAAAATCCTCAGTCTGTCATTGCTAGTCCTTCCAGTCATGCAAGCATTACGCCCCATTTTCACCGTGTAACGTTCCACCCTTCGGGTACAAACGGCAGTTTACACAATGGAAGTAGAGAGTTGTGTGATTCTGGCATTGATATCACTACAAGGACTCCCAGTCCCAATCACAATGATGACAGTTGCTGTTCGCCCAAGAAACGATGTACGGGATCTCCGCCGCTGATAGTTTCCCCCAAACAAAGCTCGAGGCAGAGAAATGTTGGCGTTGTTCACACTCCTACCCCGCTCACTGTTCAACATCGAATGCACAACCAGAAGCCAGTTTCTATTCCAGTTCTGTTTACTTTACAGAGACCAGAACTTTCATCTGGGCCTACCTTTTCTAATTTAAACTCAGATTCCAATGCAGATTCAAATAATTTGACAGACACAAATCTGAAACTACAGCCGCTAGAGCTGTCTTACTTTGGTGCTAGTTCTATTAACGAAAATTCTACAATTCCTGTCAAAATTTATAATCCGGCCAGATCTGAAAATAATCAAAGTTTTACTGATAATGAAGGTTTCAAAGAAGAAAGCGAATCGAATGCGGAAGAAGACGTCGAAGTTTGTCAGAAGGAAAAGGACAACGTGGAAAATCACAATCTGCTGGATCAGGTTGTCATCAAAACCAGAGACAATGTGTTCAAACTGAAGAATGAGGCACAACTTCCGATGAGCGAGGAATCGGAGGATGACGAACCAAACTTGGAAGAACCTGAAAAGTATACTGTTCCTACCAGCTCTCGTACTTCTATGGTCCAAAACAAAGCAGGTATGACAGTTCCAATATAAAACAGTGTTTATCAGTCGTAATCTCCCGATCACCGCAGTTAAATAGGCAATTTGTTTTAGAGGTATTTTTTACACAAAATCAGTTACCAAATTAAACGTCAGATGAATTTCAGGAATCTATTATATTGAAGCCTTTGTAGTCGTGATTCGAACTTAGACGAAAGTTTCCGAAAATATTTTCTAATTATTGAGAAAATAATTGAAATCTTTGCATTAACACAGATTCAATAAACTTTGAGCTGAAAAATGACATCAGTCCTATGTCATTAACCTTGCAATAAGCAAGGGTATTACAATCGGGTACTGGACTTTTTTTCCCGTAAACAACTTTGTCCACAAATTTCAGCATGCATGCAGTACACGCATGTTACTCCAACTCTGCATCCCTATTAGTAATTTTCCATTAAATTCGCAGTTCAATTTTTTAATGGTATTTCTTTGGTATTATTGAATTTGCGACTTCGTCGCTTTCGGTTTCTGTTTGGTCGGCTTAGTTCCGCTTTGAGTTTCCGGTTTTTACCATCCTGCTTAGTTTCCGGTTTTTACTATCCAACTAATTGGCTCATTTGAAGTTTTTTTTCACATTATTGTTGCTTTTAGTGTTCTGATTTACCTCTGCTGTTTGTTTGTAATGTTTTTAACCTTGAAATCGTTTTTGTTTTTATTTTTCGCTGAAAAACTTTATTCTGCCCAAATGAGTTCGGCCTATTTTTATCGGCTTAGTGAACCAATTTTGAGTTGTTTCAAGAGAATAGTATTTTTCATGCCCAACTCTGGATTGCACAAAATGCTAAAAATCCTAATATAAAATATAGTTCAAGTTTTTCCTGACAACAATTTTTTTCGGCGTTTTTGTTTGTTTTCCTTTTTTTGACTTGATATGTTTAGGCCTATATTATATCGGCTTATCAGCCTCATATTGCGTCTTTTGATGAGCGAAAAAAGTTTTTGCGTGCGTTGCGTGTTTGTGTTTTAAGGGCGAGGGGGGGCTGAACGCTGGTGCTTGGCAGGCACAACACAGAGAAGCGAATTGGTCTTAATTTTTTCGGCTTTTTATTTTCCTTTTTTTGTGCTTAATAGGTTTCGGGCTATATTATATCGGCTTAGTTATCTCATATTTTTTCATTTGACAAGCGAATAAAATTTTGAGTCTTTTGAGGGCGAGGGGATTGTATTAACTTTTCATAAGTTATTAACTTGGTACGTTATGTTCCGATGCTATTTTCACATTTTATTGTCTCGGCATGTTTTTGTTTCAAAAATAGCTGATTCATTTAGATAGATCTTGTTTTTTTCGACATTTTTGATTTTTTCTTGTGTTGTATCGCAAGTGGTGTGAAGCTCAGCTTCGCCTCTGTGTTTCAATATCATTTATTGACTAGTTTAGGGATTAAAAAATTCACTTTTATAAGTTAATTAAAGTATAAGTATCTAAATCTTTATATTTGAACCCCTTTTTGCGTCGTCGTGTCTAGCATGATTTATTATTTTTTTAGTACTATCAAATTAAGATTTTGCCTAATTATTTTGCTAAGTTGTATTCTATTTACGATAAGTGCTCAATTTAACAGCATGGCGAGTGAATTCAGTTTCGCATCATGCCTGAACAACTTCTAACCAAGGATGTGTGTTCAGTTGGCGAAATAGTTAGATTAGGGGCGTGCAATATTATGCTTCGGTTGAGTTAGAGGGTGGAAGTTTATAGTTGGTCAGTTCATAAGTGTCTTTTTGTTCATGGCTGATGCACTCAAGAAAATGCCCACTAAGCAGCTGTTACCGCAGAGCGTCACACTTATTAACTCCAGCTGTAGCATCTTGCTGGTAAGAGTTTCTGACTTGTTTATACTTGTTTATAAATGACCGAAGCTGGTGGATTATCCATCAAAACAACTAAATCATGAATTAAAAAGTCTACTTTTGTATGAAGTCCTAACGAATTCAGAATTAATCCCGATGCTCTTTAGCTTTTCCTGTTCAAAGAGTTTTTAAACTAAACCGATGAGTAGCCGAAATTAAAGAATAGTGTAAGAATCTATACTTGAGGTCTGATTTGATGAGTTCGATGCTAGTGTACTTGCGATATCATATCTATGTACATGTATGTTTTCTAATAACAAATACATGTGTGCTAGACTTAAGATGTGCTGTCAGATTTCAAATCCGGGAGAGCATTAAAATCATGTTTTATATCCTCTTACTAGTCTTACTTATAAATGATTGAGTGAAATGTCTATGACCTTTTTAAAGACTTCAGGCTCATTTTATGATTATTTTTTGCTGAAAATGGAAGCGGCGGCAGATGTAAGAAGAGTGAGATAACCTGAAAATTGAGCAGCACCCACTCATTCCGCTTTGTTTGATCTCCTTCCCCCCCCCCCTCTCTCTCTCTCTCTTTCGTCACATATGTATTATTCAGAAGATGCAGGTGAATGACTAGAAATAACAAAATGCAGTGCAGCTCTGAGTTAGTAGGAACTGTTCTTTTGTTTGTTCATAAAATGTGTAGGACGGAGTGAATGAGCTGCTATATGCTTTATCCCTGCTGCCTTTATTTTCCTCTTCCTCCAATGAAGTACTGTAGTTGTAAATGCTCGAGATCTTAGTTTGCGGGGCTGTTCTGAGCTGTGAGTTGCTTCACTGAGTAGGAGCGAGTTGAATTGAAGTGCCTGGAAGATGAAGCAAAGCACATGACTAGAAGGAAGAAGGAATTATAGGAACATTAAAGAGCAGTGTTGATACAAGCCCCATCAATGAGTACACTATAGAAGTTAGTGCTGTTGATGGGGGGGGGGGAGCTATGTGTTGCTCATAGCAGAAGAAACAAATGGCAGAAAATATCTATCTAACCAATATCTAACTTTGATCGGTTAAAAGAATGCCCCCCCCCCCGCTCTCCAATCAATTTAGGGTAATGAAATATGGATGTTATGAAAAGTAACTTTGAGTTTGAATTGTACGGTTGACCCCATATTTTTTTCGGCCATTTCAATCTTTCTGTTGAGGAATTTCCGCGTGCTGATGTTTCCTTCCACTTGTTGGATTAATCATTCGCAAAGTTGATATTTATAATGAGGAAATTGAACCGAGGGACTTCTAGCTTTGAATCCTATTATTTAAAAAAATTACATATTAGGATAGGAAATTAAGGGAACAGAACGGAAGGTCGAATTGTGTAGATAGTCATAATTGTTTTATTGTGTTTCTCAGCTTTACTCGGATACTAGCGAGGAATAATGACTGATGTAACCTGGATTAAAAAGTTTTTTTGTCATGCATGGCCGAATCCGAATTTAGTAAGTCAGCTTCATTCAGCTTCATGCACTTATGATGCAAAAGTTATCTGTACTTCAAATATTTTGAGTAATTCAAGCTCGTTTTTGAATTGTGGTTTTATCTCAGTTACGAATGGTATTGCAGTTTTCATTTTCTGGCAATCGGCTGGGCTATTTACAGGCGTAAACGAACTCTGATAGTGGTAAACGAGCACTGAACAGAACATGCTAAACGAAATTGCTTACCCATACAAGAATAAACAAACCAATTTAGTTATGAAATTAAAACTATTATTGGAGGGATAATCGGACTTCATGCCATATCACCTTCAAGTAGATCTTAAAAAGAATGATACTGTCAAGCTGCAAGAAAATCTTCGCTTAGATTGTTTGCTTCAGTAAACCGCCCTTGACCGGCTCTTACGGCTATTTTTAAATTGATTTTGCCATTTAATTCAACTGAAAATTGATCAGTATCAAATTTTGAAACAAATATAACCGGTTACTGTGCAAGTAGCAATGTTCCGACTATAGTCTTCAAAAATACAAAAAAAAGAGTTTTTTTTTCAAATTGTCGTTTTTTTTCTGCGTGGTGTGAAAAAAAGATTTGAATGAAAAAACGAATATAGGAATATTCGACAGTCATAGTAAAATAGTTCAATTGGAAAGTTTTTGTAGAAAATTGAAAAATGATTAGAAAACGAGAAAAAAAATTTTTTGCAGAAATTTTTTGAATTTTTCAAGTTATTGATTCCCAAATTGGCGCTAAAAACTCCTAAAATTAATTTTACTTAGAAAAAAATCTAATTGAATGTTCTGTAGTTTGTATAATTACTATGTCTGATTTTGAATATATATTTTTTCGATTAAACGGTTGCGGCTTATCTAATATCGTTTTAGTCTCGTCATATTGTGTAGTTTCGAGGGCAAAATATATTCCTATGATTTGACTCTTTTGATTTCTTTTGAAAATGGTTTATTTCCCTTATAAAAAGGAAGGCAAATTCCGTATCAAACAGAAAAAGTGTAAAACTCACGAAAAACGTGATCGACTTCTAGTTTCGAAAGTGGAATTTAACTTTCAGATTTCCCAGCGAAATAAAAACTTTCTTATTAGTCCAGTTTTCTCAAATTGGGTTAATTTATCATAAAGTGTCCATCAAAATTGGTTCTAGAAATTCAGAGAGCTTTAAGGCCACCTTTTTTTCTTTGAAATTGAAAGTTGAGACAGTATTTTTTTTTAATTGCGTTCATTGACTCTTTTTCCATTTGTCTGTTGGCTATGTTCAGAAATTAAGTTTCAGGGCAAATATATATATTGATCTAATTATGGGAAAAAATTAAGACAAAATTTAAATATGAATGATAATTTACGTAATAACAAAATAAATAATCTATTCTAAATGAAAATTTTTGTCAAGTTATATTTTCTGTGCGCCTATTTGAAATGCATGTTATACATAAGCAACTTTCAAAAGTAAAACATGGCTAGGGGGGGACTCTCCAGTAGGGCACTTAAAAGGGGATTGTACGGTTGAATCGCGATACCGGAGAAGTTTGAAGTATGCTCTATTTACTTGATTCGATTGGAATTTTTTTTAAAGATATGTGCGAGAATTCGATTCTGATAGTCATTTCGTGATGGTATATTTTACGTCAATGTCTCTTTGTCCACATTTCAGATGATATATTTCATTAATATTTCTTC